GGATTAATCCGTTCATATGATGAATTAATAAGTGAGTTAATGAATTATCTCTCCAGGGGTTCTGCTGTAGAAGCCAGTTTGGCTAGGTCCCATGTGCACTCCCTGCTGTCATCAAATGTAGCCCCCCAACCTTGGACCAGATAGACCAAATAAATCACCTTTCTGAAAGGGAATGCAAAGATGGCTATACTAATTTATTTATTACTCTGTTATTGTGGCTGTACTTGTTTTCCCAGTCTCCCAACTCTGTCCCTTCTAAATTTCATTCTGATGCTTTGCTACTTTTGGAGAAGCCCATTTGTACCATGCAGCTGTAGGCCTCTGACCCAGCAGGCTGCTGTAGAAGGTAATTGACTTCAGAAAGCAACCCGTCAGTCAGCTTTGCAGCCACACAGCCCACAGGAGTGTGCTCTGCCGGCCTGATGATGAGCGCTGCCTTTCCCGTGTCCTAAGGCTCCTCTCCAGCAGTGATGCCAGGATCGTAGCGCTAGCTTGCTCGCCTCACAGGTGGTCTTGGTCAGCTCTGGTGCGTAACACAATCCATAGGTAGGAATCTTGTTCTGTTGCTCCCTTCCTGGTTTCTGTTCTCTGCCCCTGGTTTACAGACCAAGTGCCTTCTCACTGTGCCCTCACACGGCAGAAGGATGGGACTCCTGTGCCTCTTCCTTTTCTAAGGACCCTAATTCCTTTCTGGGGTTTTACCCTCATGAACTCATCTAAACCAAATCTCTTCCTGAAGGCTCTGCCTCCAGATACCATCATGTCAGTGCTCATGGCTTCAGCATAGGAATTGGAGGGCAGGCAGGAGCAATCAGTCCATAGTCGTAGGCTTTTCAAATGCATGTTTAATGTATAAAGTGATTTGCAAATGTAAGATTTTTAAATTAGTATTGTCAGTTTTTTTATTGTCAAGTTTCTAGACATTTTCCCTGTGCCTCGGTTTCTAAGGAAACCAAATTATTTCTGAGTAATGTTCAGAAAAAAATAGAGCCCTGGTGCAACTTGTAATTTAAGGAAAATGTTAAATGCATAGAGCCCTGATGCTCTGCCGCAGCACAAACTCTCCTCTGATGCTGGTGCCGAGGTTCTTACTGCATGGCTACACCATGCCAGTGTAAGGATCTTCATTCAGCAGAACTCACCCATACCTCATCTATCCCAAGGCAGAATAAAGGGCCTAGAGAGAGTGGCAAGTCATGGAAAGCAGGGCAGGTCAGTTCTGGGGGAGGCAGAGGGCTGGGCAGGGCTTGGGTAGTGAAGCCCTCAGAGCAGGAGGAGGGCTACCCGGAGGGACGAGTGTACCTGCCTGAAGCCCTGCAGCAGCTGCAGAGCAGAGATAGCAGCCAGCAGGCCAGTGGTGGGGCTGCACTGGACGCCAGCTAGGACTGCTGTCCCAGGAAGGTGGCCCAGTGACAGGATATGGAGGATCAGAAACAAAACTGGCTTTTTCTCCTTGGCAGCTGATTATAGTCACTGGCCTTGTCTGCTAAGGGGCTAGTGCACCCAGGTTCACCTTGCCCCTAGGAGCTCTCTTTCCTCCACAGTACACCCTCCCATCCTGCAAAGTTCCACATATTAAAACTCACTGGGGAAGATTCTAGAAAAACAAGAAATTAGAGACAGCTTGCTGTTGGCTGCCCGAAAGTATGTCTCAGGAGCTTGGCTAACCTGAGAATGGACTGTTTAAAAAACGTGGTTGTCAAGACTTGCGGATAGTCTCTGCTATTTCCATTTTGGCTCATTCTTTGAGGTGCTTTTTATTTTTCCCACGTGCCTTTCCTTTCTTATCAGGATTTTTGGGCCAAGCTGTAGCTCAGTAGTATGGCCCCTGCCTGGCAAGCATGAACCCTGAGTTTGATTCCCAGTACCAAAGAAAAACAAGATTGTCAGTTTGCTTTGGAAATGAAACTGTCCAAATACCATATTGTGTGGGATAATTACAGGTAAAGGAAAAAGAAGTAAAAAACATAGCTAATTTTATAGCTGTAACTTTTTCTTTTTCTGTATTAGCTTTTTACAAACAGGTTTCAGTGGATCAGTTATTACACATTAATTGCCTTGACTGGAGAAAATAAATCAAATCCCTGTGTATGAGCGTGCATTGCAGCTAGGATATTACTTTTATTGTATTAAAGCTACTCAAGTCTCTTTAAATTTTGTTTATGGTTTTAATATTTCAAATAAATGTTTATCTTCCTTTTCAGTATTGTTAATGTGTCCCTGAAGTTTTATTTCCAAGATGGCTTAATTATTTAAGCTAATGACTGTTTTTCTTAGAGGGAAATAACTCAGAAAGTTGCAGTATAGCTAGTAGTTTCTATTTTGGAAAGAACTGTATGGTTCCATTACTTCATTAGACCCAGAGAATAGTAAAACATCAGAGGAGAAAGGACAGGAGTTTGACCATGAGCCTTTGATCCTACCAGCACAGTCCTTATTTCTGTAAAAATAAAAAAAGCCTCTTAAATATAATCTGAAATTCAAATCAAATTAAAATGAAAATTTGTCTCCAATACCACAGTAAACGATGTAATACAATGTTTTTCAAAAACACAGCTTTGCAGTTCCAGTGCTCTGAGGGCATGGACCTGCTCACTGTTGAAAACGGTTCACTAGATTAATACCCTTGTTATGCAGAAAAAGCACAAGACCCAGTGACTCCAAGTGCTGGTGTATGCAGGAGCTTAGAAGCAGAAGCCAGCCAGAATTCAGACTTCCTTTCATTTGCTTAACAGGCTGTACACTTTGCTTATGAGTTATTTTCTACAGTAGTTGTTCTTTCTGCCATTTTTAGGTCAGTTTTTTTTTTTTTTTTTTTTTTTTGTACATGTGTGCAGTATGTCAAGATTTCAGTTATGTAGATTGGTGTATGCACCTGATACTTCTAGATTCTTCTTTTCTCCATTTTTTATCCCTACCCTCCCTCTCCCGTCCTGCTCCATCCAAGTCTTGGTCACCTTCTCATTTGCAAAAGTTCTGTTTTCATCATTTTTCCCCTTCAATTCTTTTTTTAAAAATCTAGTTTCCTCCCATCCCTTGTTCTCCCATTCATTTGAAAAAGATCTCACTACTTCCTATTTATTCTTTTTAATAGTTTACTTATTTATTTGATACAGGGTCTCACTATGCAGCTAGGACTCTTTGTGATCCTCCTGTCTCAGCCTCCCCAGCACTGGGATTATAAGCATGTGCCACCATGCCCAGTTTTGAGGCTGGACAGATCGGCATGGCATGTGGTACCAGGGATCGAACCCAGGTGTTTATGCTTGCCAGGCTGGCACTTATACTGCCAAGTTACATCCACAGCCCCCTACTTCCTATTTATATATCTTCTTTTTTAATGATATATTGATATATAGTTCCTCATACACAATAACTTGTTTTAGGTTTTTTTTAGGGGTATTGGGAATTGAACTTGGGACCTTGAGCTTGCAAGGTAGGCATTTATGCCCCCGCTGAACTATCTCCCCAGCCCCAGTTCCTCATATAAGAGAAACCATGTGATATTTAAGCTTGTGTGTCTGCTTATTTCACTTAATAATATGGCTTCATGTTACATCTATTTACCTATGCATGCCTCAAGTGTATCTTTATGGCAGAGCGGTAGTACTCTGCTGTGCATAAATACTGTACTACATTTGCTTTATCCATTTTTCTGTTGATGTGCGTAGAGGTTATTTCAAAGATTTAGCTTTCATAAATTGTCCTAGTATAAACGTGGGTTCATATCTGTCCCATAGTATGATAGCTTTAACTCTTTTGGGAAGATACCTAGAAGGGGAGCATCTGGGTCCAATGGAATTATTAGCTTTATTGTTTTGAGGAATCGCCACACCACTTTTCCATGATGGCTGTACTCGTTTATGTTCCCATCAACAGTAAGAAGTGGTCCTTTGTCCTCACAGCCTTGTCAGCATTTGTTATTATTTGATTTCTTGATGGTAGCCATTAATTTGCATTTCTGTAAAGATCAGTAATGTGGAATATTATTTTCATTATTTATTGGCCATTTGGACTTCTGAGAAGTGTCTGTTCATTTTGACTGTGCTTTTTATGATTAGGTCTTTTATTTAAAGGACCTACCCTGGGAGATGGCTCGGTAGAATAAGCACTTGTCTGGCAAACACAAGGGCCTGAGTTCAATCCCAGGTTCTGCCAAAAGAAAAGAGAGAGAGAGGCAATATAAAACTTTGGGGTTGGGGAGATAGGTCAGTAGAATAAGTGCTTGCCTGGCAAGCTCAAGGGCCTGAGCTCAATCCCCGGTTCCACCAAGCGAAAAAAAAAAGCGGGGCATGGGTGTGTGCAGGGGAGATGGCTCAGTAGAATAAGTGCTTCCCTGGCAAGTACAAGGGCCTGAGTTCAGTCCCCAGTTCTGCCAATAATAATAATAATAATAATAAATATAGAGGATCTAGTTTTTTAGAGTTCTACCTATATTCTAGATGTTAGTTCTCTGTTCAGGAAATAGCTACAAAAATGATTTTCTTGTTCTATTGTCTTTTCACTCTGTTGGTTGTTTTCTTTGCTGTGCAGAAACTTTTTGCTTTGCTGTGGTCAGACTTATCGATTCTCACTACCGTTTCTTATGCCAGTAGAAGCCCAAGGTTCCTGTGGGAGGCCCCTGCTCTGCCTATAGCACTCCCCCGTCCTGTAAGACCACGCTGTCTTGCAAAGGAGACATGTGGTCCAGCGCCATCTTCCTGGATCTAATATTTCAACCTTCCATTGTCAGAGCAGAGGCCAGGGTCAGGAGAGATGTCTTACACATGGCTGGTCCCTGTGTCCAGCCTGGTTATATTCCCTTTTTTCCATCCTGATTATTTCTGCTATCATGACATAGTCTTATTTTCTGGGGAAGAGGTAGGGCAGAATCTAAACTTGCAAGTGGATTAATTCTATAAATTAAGCTTGGATCTTTTTTTACTTGGAAAGCTCCAGTGGATGGTTATCCTTGTACAACTCTACAGGTTCTCACCTCTAATCTGTTTCTCTTAAAACAGTGTATCTGGTGGAGAGCTGTTTGATCGGATAGTGGAGAAGGGCTTTTACACAGAGAAGGATGCCAGCACTCTGATCCGTCAAGTCTTGGATGCTGTGTACTATCTCCACAGAATGGGAATTGTCCACAGGGACCTCAAGGTGAGACACTTTGCAGCCACTCCACAGTGCACCTGCCCAAGAGGATTGTTTTGATGGAGGGAAGAGGCTGCTTTGGGTAGAGATGTGTGGAACAAACCCTGCGCATTGGGGTCCTGAGAGTAGCTTAGAGAAAAACGAAAATTAATGTTGTTGGCCATTGTTTGGGAGATTTTGTGATCATTAGGCAGCCACCAGGCCACAGAGAGGAAGACTGGATTGTTTCAGGTTCATCTATAAGATCATTCTGTTGAAGACATGAAAACTTTTCACTCGGTGCCATTCTTCAGAGCTCTGTTGCCACTTCAGCTCCATTTCAGCACAACACACTGTATGAAGGTGCAGCAGGCAGCCTGAGAGGAGAGAGAAAGGAAAGAGGAGGTGAGAGCAAGAAACTCTTAAATGGGCTGCTCTAAAGCTTTTGACAGAGTGATAGTTCTTCACCTATTAGCCCCAAAGAGTCTGGACCTTATTGTGGGCAGCTTAGCGTCTGGTTGTCTCCTCCCAGCCCAGGCCTGTGTAGATGGAGAAGGGTAGATAAGCGCGCACATAAACTTGAGAAACGGTGAAAAGCAACATCATTGCCCCAGACTAACGGTCACGTGTCCAGCCTCTGGAGGCTGCTGCACCACTCCAGACAGAAATCCCACCTCCACACACATCCACACCCTCAAACGTAAATCCAAGGATTGTGTTGTACTGAAGCCGTGCTGAATGAAACTAGGGAATCCAAATCAACTTAAAAAATAGTCAGGGGTTAGATCTGGCTCTGTGGTAGAAAACCTGCTTGGCATACACAAGGCCCTGGGTTTGATTCCCAGCACTGTGAAAGAAAACAAAAGAATCCTAAACACTTGCCCAGACAGGTTCAGCACCTGCCACTTGTACTGTCAGAAAGACAAGGTGGGATGCAGATGAGGGTGAGCATGAAGACCTTGCCCAGCACATGCCAAGCCCTGGGCTCCATCCCTAGCACCACAAAAAGAAGACTCATTGCCTAGTTTTCTGTTCCTTCCACATATCATTTCCCCATTTCTATTTCCCTGTTTCCTTTGCAAAGGCCATTTTAAGACCTCTGTTGTCTTTTATTTTATTTATTTATTTAATTTTAGGCAGAACCAGAGATTAAACTCAGGCCCTTGCGCTTGCCACGCAAGCACTTATTCTACTGAGCCATCTCTCTGTCCCTCTCTGTTGTCTTTTAGAGACACAAAATTTTAGCTTGCATCGGACTGTCCACAGTCATCCCTTGCTGGCTCCAGCCAGAGGCTCTGGTTTTGTAGGTCTGCAGAGGCAGAGAACCTCATTCTTCAGGTATGTGGGGAATGCAGAGAGCCATTCTTGGAGAAGCACTGGCCTGAACAGTTGGGGCTCTCAGCCCACCCTTCAGCATTGCCTTTGGCAGATTTCATGACCAGTGAATGGGCTGAATGTGAGGAGCTATTTCCTGAGTCAGGATCTTCTGCAGAGAGCCAGGCTTGCACCTTCATGCCAGACTGCAGGGCTTTCTCTGCTCTCCTGCACCCCACCAAGTACCAGTGCTTTGCTTCCACAACATAGCAGGCAGCTGTTGCTCAACAGATTAGTGCTGCGCCCAAAGAGATGTGGTAGCAGTAATTACTAGAGAAACAATTTCAAAGCAGATGAGCATATCCAGGAGGGGTGGTGTTCACAGTATTTCCTCTAGGCAGATGGGCTGAACAGGAGGTGGTTTTCACTCCCACACAGTTCTTGTGGCAAAGTACTTTCAGCTCCAGCCTGAGGAGCTTTGAGATCACCAAGCTTATTGTGGGAAGAGTGTGCCATGTTGGGACTCTGTTATGGTCACTTTTCCTCTGCACTCATGAATTTCATCTAGGTGGAGGAAGTTGGAATTGCAGAATTAAGTGTTCATCCTTATTGAATATTATATGAAGGATATTAAAATCACCAGTGTAATCCAGGCTAAAGCAGGAGAGGGCTTGATGGGGTTGAAGATATGTGTATAGTCTGAGACACTAACCTACCCCCACATACAGACATGCTATGCCTCTTCCTCCTTCCAGAAAGGTGTTCCTATGTCTTGTTCTTTTTTCAAAATGCAGGGACTGACACAGGAAGGGCCTAACTGTGGCCATCTCAGAATATGACAGGGTTTCTCATCCTCTACCCTGTTAATATTTTGAATTGGACCTTTCTTTGTAGGGGAGGCTTCCTGGGCCAGTAGGCTGCTAAGCAGCATGGTTGGCTTCTACCTGATAAAAGCGTCATGTATCACCAGCAGTGGCAACAACCAGAAATGTCACCAGGCAGTGTGATGTCTGGGGGCAGGGGTCCAAATCACCTGTAGTTCAGAATTAGGAGTGTTAATGCACATAAACTTCTGTTGACTCAGTTTTTTTTTAGAGATTATATAATTAGTTGTAAAAGCTTGAGATTAATTTTTTAACTCTGATGTTGTTCACCACCAGTTGTCTTAAAAAGATGCCATATTATGGAGCAAAACAGTTTTTCAGTGACAGCTTGGCCTTTTAGGACCCCAGGAAGCATGGCAAGAGTGTGACAGATTTGTTCTGTGGCCCCAACCTGCATGCCTCCTGCCATGCCCTGGGGGCCTGTTGTCCCTATTGTCCCTCTGCATCCTCTTTCTGTTTCCCCAGCCCACCCCCAGAAAAAGCTTTTCTTGTGTCAGTTACTATGTTTTAAGCCAGATCTAAACTGTGAATGTCCAGTTGACTTTGCCTTCCTATGGGATAATCCTTCTTCAAAACAGCACTTTCTTGTCTGAGGGACTCAGGTGAGAAGATTGTGGGGAGACCCTGCTGGCCTATGGAAGTTTCTGGCCTGCACCCTCTTTAGTGGCATGTGACCACTTCCTCTCCACTTCTTTTTTATCTCTGCAGTTGCAGAAATCCTGGGGCAAGGAAGATCAAAAATCAAAAACTACAGAAATACCCTCTCTTTGCACCTATGATTGGGTTGGTTTATCAGTAGATAATCACTAAACATGGAGAAAAATGTTGAACTACGCATACTTTGTGATTAGAGTGACTTTACCTCATTTCCTAAGCTTTTTTCCTATTTCAACTTTGCCCTGTTCTATTTTCTTTTAAAACTCATTTAAAACATACTTCAGCACATGCTTGATTTTCTTCCAATTTCATGCTTCACCCACAAATTGTCACCATAACTTTGAGTCCCATTTCTTTTTGTGTTACGATTGTGAGTGAAGGGTTATACTATTTTTCCTTTTGGGCTCTGCTAAAAAAAAACAGAATTATTTTGACACTTATTAAAATGGTAAGAAAGTCTTTATTTAAGACTGTTGTGTTAGAGGAAAGAGGCTGATCTCAGTTCCTAATACAGCAATAGCAAACAGGGTTGTCAGGTCGGGAACAAAAGATTGGGAGCTCAGCAGTTACTAAGAGGAGATAGAAGGGCTTGGGATTCCTGCTAAGGGTGTAGTAGGACTCTTGAGAAAGGCAAACCAGGAAGTTGGCTTAGACAAAGAATGAGGAGGAGTCTGGGCATCTGAAGTTTAGAGTTGGGGGGGATGCTCGTGTGCAGCCTCTGTGTAAAGAGCTTTTGAGAACTAGCCAGGCACCATAATTGACCACACTTGAGTTGGAGCTAGAGTCAGGCTTCTCAGAGTCCTGTTTCCACCAGGCCCTGACTTGGACTCTGACCTTAATCCACCAAGACTCTCCTGTGTGTTTAGAAAAACTTCCACACCCTTGATATCCAAAGCCTTTGACCTCCTCTCTCAAGATCTTGTTCCCCTGGCCTGCCTGTCCCACACATTCAGCCAGGTGGTTTAGGCAGAATGTCCCTTAGTCCTGAGATTTCCTCACAGTAATTTTTCACCCATTGGACCTACTTTACTCCTAGGCCATAAATCTTCATTCATCCTTTTGCAATCTTTTGAGCTAAGTCCGCTCTCTCTTCCCTACAGCAAAACCCCATTGCTGTAGCATTTACTCTTCTGCTAAAATGTCTGAATAATTTGTCACTTTAATAACATCAAAAGTAGAGATGAAAAACTTGGCCATGTTTCGGGGTTGTGGATTAGCTGCACACTGATTTACTTAGATTATTGCTAAGATGGGGCCCTTCTGGCCTGGCTGAGCCAAGAGAGACATGTGAGGGCAGGGTCAAGGCCTTGTCAAAAAGAAGGCTTAGAGGAGCCTGACTAAAATTCAGCCAAGGACAGAGTCTTGGGCAGTTCTTAAAATTTCCTCAAAGCAATGGCTACCCACCCGAATCTGCTCACCTGAGTTCTCAGATCGAGATGTGCAAGCCACCGCAGCTATACCAGAGGATGGTATCATCTACCTTCTAACATCTTTACAGGTGACTCTGCTCCACACTGAGGCCAGGAAACATTTTTTCAGACAAGTTTGGTCACTCTGCATAAAGGAGTTCCTAAAATTTTATTTGACCAAAATTCCTCAACAGAAGCAAGCAGGGCTTCACCCTTTGGCTGGGAAGGAGAGCCAGATGGGAAATGGTGTAGGAAAGTGGGCTGCTAGTTAGATTCTTCATTCTGCATTTTCTTTGAGGTTTAGTTTAAATGAGAGCCAGGGTTGCTTGCCACTCAGTAAATCTTGAGAGCTGTCTGGTAGGTGACGTTCCTGTCCTGGGCGCTGTCTCCCTCAGCATCACCAACCCCCAGTGCCGGCGCTTCTTTTGCTCCGCACAGGGCCAGGTTTCAAAGCTGCAGGATCTCAGTCTCCAGAAGCCTCTCCCCCTTGTTTGGCACAAACAATGAGATCTCCCGATTTTACATAACATGTTCTGCAGAGGATGTTTCATTGCCTCCCTGTCCTCGCAGGTCTGCTTCCCCGGTGTCCCTCCCACATCAGCAGCAGGTGCTCCCAGCACGGCAGCAGGTGCAGTGAAGGCAGCATCACTGGAATGACAAGAAGTATAAAATGTTTGCTGTGTGTCATCACTGTCAGAGCTCTGTCATGTGCGTTCAGGAGAGCAAACAGGGAACTGTTGCAATACATGTTACAGAAAGGCAAATAGAACCTTGAAGTCCTAAGGATACATGGGTAAAAAGTGCTACATCATCCCACTCAGGATCTGTTCTGAGATGAGGTGTCATTGCTTGCTTCCCATGGAGCAGGGGGCAGGGGTCTGATGACCTCAGCAAGGTGCAAAGTAAACCCACATACCAGACTCCAAGATGCTGTGGGACAGGGAGAGCGATGCTAAAGGCAGGGAGAGCGACCCTCTGATGAGAGAAAAGTGGCTGGCAAGAATCACTGAAAAAAAAAGGAAGAGCAATACCTGCAAGAATGATTTTACGTTCTGGGAATCCCACTTCCTGTAAGGAAGTATTGAATATCATTTTAAGCCAAGAACAAGTCCAGAAGTCACTGCCTCGAAATATGGTTAATCTTTCTGAATAGGAAAAAATGTCAGCAAAGCAAAGGGTCCAACATGGCTATGACATCTGCCTGGCCAGGTGCGGGATAGGACACTCTGTGTCATCTTTATTAGATACCACTTGATTGGTGCAGCCTGTGTGTCTAATGATTGGGGATTTTCTGTTTGAACAGGTTTTGTGATTTGGTGATCTCCTGCAGTTAATTCAGCTTTAAATCAACTTGTCAATTTTTCATCTTTTTTTCCCTAGCCTGAAAACCTGTTGTACTACAGTCAAGATGAGGAGTCCAAAATAATGATCAGTGACTTTGGATTGTCAAAAATGGAAGGCAAAGGAGATGTAATGTCCACAGCCTGTGGGACCCCAGGCTATGTTGGTGAGGACGGCACATGTGTGTGTGTGTGTATGTGTGTGTGTGTGTGTGTGTGTGTGTGTGTGTCCAAGATACTTCCATCAGTTTTCTTAAGCATTTGAGCCTAGTACATAGTCACAGATGACTTCATTTCTCTTGATGGAAGAATAAAAATATTGAGAGGCACTGGAACAAGATGGCAGGGAGGTGATTTCCTCAGAAATCTTCTAATAGTTGGGTAGAAATCCTGTTTGATTTGGCTTGATTGGAGGCCCAAGAGTTAATGTGGATGAATTCTCAGGTTCTCATATCACTGTATATCCATTTCTGAGTGATTTACAGTGAAACACTGAGATTTTAGAAAGATGCAGATACAGTAAAACATCCAAAGTGTCAAGATAGATGCAGCCAGGGAAAAAGCACTGCTGTGAGATAACTGCTCAAATCTTGCTGTCATTCTCGAGTCAGATGGGCTTGATCTGTCCTAACAAAGCTAAGAATTACTAGTTTTTCCTAAAATCAGAACCCCAGGTTCTTTGTGCTACACACAAAATGCAGAAAAAGTACTGACCTGAACACTTGGATATGGAGGCTTGTCTTCTTTCTGGAGACCACTTGCTTTCTGGGGACTATGTTAGTCAGGTTTTTATTACTATAACAAATTACCTGAGATCATCAGCTTATAAAGAGAAAAGGTTCATGTTGGCTTACTGTTTTGGAGGTTTCAATCCATAGTCAGTTGAGCCTGTTGTTGTGGGACCTGTGGTGAGGCAGTACATTGCGGTGACTGCACAGAGAAGAACCATTCGCCTCAAAGCTAGGATGCAGAAGAGGGGAGACAGGGGGAGGGACTGGAGTTCTGATTGCCACCCAAGGGCATGGCGTCTGACGACTGCACCTATGAAATGTGCTACTGCCTTCCAGGGGCACTGTGTGCGGGGGCATGAGCCTCAGCGGATGAAGATCTGCACTCTTGTGGGACCTCTATGCAAGCCACTGAAGGCCTTTGTTTCCTCAGGTGTCCTTGCCTATGGCAGGTGTGAAGGAAGTGTCCAGCAGTGCCCAGGACTCTGGTGGAGACAGCAAATGAGATAGGGGCAATACTTGCCCTGGAGGATCTCATGTTTTAGTAGAATCAACAGACAACAAACAAAGAAACAAATAAAAGAACAGGGCATTTTCAAGATTCTAAGTACTCAGAAGAAAATGAAACTGGGGACGTGCAGCAAGGAGAAATCAGCACTGTGCTGAGAGCATTTTCTTTCCTTTTTCTATTTTCTTTTGGCTTTCAGCATTGCAGATCAAGCCCAGGGCCTTCACTGAGCTCCATCATGAGTCCTTTTTTATTCGTAAGTCCCTAAGTTGCTCAGGCTGTGCTTGAATGTGCAGTCCTCCTGCCTCAGCCTCTCAGAGCGCTGGGGTTGCAAGCATGGGCACCACACCTGGGAGTTGGATTTCCCTGGGTCTCTAAGTGGCTGCTGTCTCAGTGTCTCGTTCTGTTTATTCCTGCATCCAGTACCAGTGAACCCAGAGGAAGTGTTTAGCAGTGACCCTGTTCCAAAGGGTGGTCGATGGAGCCCTCGGGTGATGCTGTAGTCAGGCACTGAGTTCACTGTACGGATTGATGCCAGGGCCTCTAACGGGTCTTCCTTCCCCCACTCTGGCCTTTGCTCCCTGCCTTCAATCTGAACTCAGTCTGCTGCACAGGGGAACCTGTTAGAAATCTGATCATGTCCTCCCTTAACTAAGAGCCCCACTTAACTCTGTATATCATCCCAAGTAAAGCTCAAGTCTTTCCAGTGATTCCTTCTCTCCCGCCCTTTTTTTGTATTTCTGGGGAATGAACCCTGGTGTTTCACACTGATCTAAATCCCTACCCTTTCCTGTTTTGAGCTAGAGTGTTGTTAAATTGCCTGGGCTAGTATCCAGTGCATGCTCCTTCTGTCTTAGCCTCCAGGACGAAGCTCACCAGTCTTTGCCACCTCACTCAGCTTTACGATTGCTGAGTCCTGGTCTGTGTTCCCTCTGCTCAGTACTTCCCTGGTCCTGTCTTCTGCTCCTCACTCCTGCCTCTGCTCCCACTCTTGCCTGCTGTTTTTCTCACATCCTCCTGCCTCAAGGCCTTTGTGCTGTGATTGCAATAGCTCCCTCCCAAAGCACTGTGGCCAGAGCTTTCACCATTCTCAAATCTGTACCCCTAGTCACCCTAACAATGAGAGCTGCCAGATCACCCTCTACTGCTTTATTTTTCTCCCTATTGTTTCTTTTTTTAATTAAAAAGTATTTTATTGAAATGTGTGCAGCATATAATGTTCACTTCCCTTGCGGGGTGTGTGCCCATCTTAAGTCCTTCCCCCCTCTTCCCCTTCTCCCACCCCCATCCACCATCTCTTCATCCCCTTCCCATTTAAGAAAGATTTCTCCCTACTTCTTAGCATCTACTTTTAAGTTTGCTCTTTGTTAAGAGTTTGGGTTTCTCAGAAACTTAAGCCCGTGTTGCTTCACTTGCCCTTACGATCTCAAGGTGTCTCCATTTATTCCTCTCCCTGGTGCTTGTCATCTGACACAGATGAATTTACTCAGCTATTTGCAATAGTCTGTCTCTCTCCCACTCAAATGCATGCATTATGAAGAGGAGAATCTGTTTTTTTTCTTCTTCTACTGCATTTTCAGGGCCTTGAACAGAAGGTGGGCACTAAATAAATAATTCTCGCAGGGATAAATAATACAGCAGTTACCATACATTATTAAATTTACCTGTTCTTTCCTGTCTCTCACAACACTGGTAATGTTTTGAGGGCTGAAACTATACCTTATTTGTATTTGTGTCCAAATGCTAAACACTGTACACAGTGCATAGGAGGAATTCAATAGATGCATGCTGAATAAATGCAAAAGAAGAGAAAGAAAAAGTGACTAATAGTCATAGACTGGCTTTCATAGAATTCATTACACATCTTTACAGAGGTGAGTAAGATCAGTCCCTGCCTGAGCAAAACCCACAGTGCAGCAGGGAGAGAAGGAGAGAGATATGGACCCTTACTCTGTGATCAGAGCCATCAGATTGCAAACAGCCAAGGTAAAGAGAAAGGAGATGAAAAAATATTTGGAAAACAGTGAGAAGGGGGTAGCACTGGGTTCTGATGGCAGAATAGGAGCTTGCCATTCACACTGGGGAGGAAACAGCCCAGCCAGCCGAGGGCTGCCCAAGGGATGTTCACATAGGCCTCCCTGCGTCTTCTCCACATAATTCTTGCTGTGTTCCAAAGCTGTGTACTCTGTACAGCACTCACCCCAAGCAGTGCCAGGTACTCCACAGAGCCCCAGTGCTCCGTGCATGTGAGCACACGGAGCAGCTGCACCCTGTTAGCCCATTAGCCCATCTGCCCGCTGGCATGGTCTTGGTCCAGGTTGCTCGCAAGGGAAGTGATGAGAAGCTGCCAGATTCCAAACGTATCTCAAAGGCAGTGGCATCAAGACTCTGAGAAACTGGAAGTAGGATTGGGAGAGAAGTCATGGGTATTTCCAAAGAGTTTTTGACCACAGCCCCCTGGATAGAACCATTGCCTTTCACTGAGGTAGAAGAGCTGGGGCATTGAGCAGGAGCCAGGAGCTTGCAAGCAGTACGGTTTTGACTTGGTAAAGTTTGCTGGCTCACAACATGCTGGCCGCAACGTCTGTCGACTGTCAGTGCATTGTCTTGATTTGTGTGTCTCTGTGTGCTGGGTCTTGGCAGTTCTGTAACACTGAGTGCCAGCCAGCAGCACCATCGCTCAGGACTGACTCCAGTTTATCAGGTAGAAAGATGTCTTTTCTGTGTAAGACCACTGGCTCTTAGAAGAGGCCAGTGCTTTGGTTTAGGGGTTTCAGGCTGCTCCTGATCCAGCTATTATCTTCAGATTTAGAACTAAATGTGTGAATATAGAATAAAAAAATCTTTTCCCTCCATTGCAGTTTACAACTTTACTGCTTTAGTGCACTTTATGCTGATAAGTGTTGCTCTCAGTGTGTGATCCACTGCTTATCATTATGATTATCTAAACAACTAGCCAAATAGTTAATTTGGGCAACATCATGTTATTATGTCAGTTTTTTCAAGGTTCATGTACTGTTTTTTCACTGTTATGTCTTTTAAGTCTTCAGTTTAAATGAACTCTCTAAATTGAAGAGACAATGAAAAGGGGCTATTTTCTCCAACTATGTCCAGGCATAGGTATCTTAGGGGAAGAAAACAGGAATCTAACCACTTTGAGCTTCATACAGTGTCTGCGCAGATTTTACACTCCCTTTAGCATCCCTGCCCCCTGGAGAAAGTGTTAGTTCATTCATCAGATCCTGCAGGTATCTCCCCAACTGCTCATTGAGTTTGTACTGCAGGCAGCTTAGAGGGTTCAAGTCTCCTAGATGACCTGGTGCCCTGTCAACACCAAGCAGTTCCCTGGTAGGACATGGCAGATGGGTGACACCCACCTATACAGTAGCATGTTTCACATATGACACAACTAACATCTTTCAGAAACAGTTTTACTTAAAATACAGGCAGGAAAGGGACCACCAAGGGCTGGGATGGCCAGGACAATGACCGTGACTGAAGTAGGTTCTGAAGGAAGGGCAGAGCTGAGGCAAAGACAAGGAGAGTTGCAGATGCAGCGGGGGAGGGGAACCCAGGCCAGAGTCGTGACCTACTTACTACTTGGAGCTTCTGGGAGAAATAAACAGATGTATCAGCTTGGGGAGGAGGCTGGTGTAAATGAATACTGGCTAATAACTTGGGAGAAGTGATGGGCCGTCCAGTGGAATTAAATCCCCAAGGTCACATGGTGGCTGCCAGGATGCTATTGACTTGAATTTGGAAACCACCTGAGTCAGTGGTAACATTCCCTTTGCTGTCCCCAGTAAGAGGCAAAATTCAGAGCTAAGAAGGCAAATTGCTTACGCTACATGCTCAGCTGCATCAATTAAAATACTCAAATGAGTTCCCTTGAATCACTCAACTCCAGTAGTAAGGCACAGAGAGCATCTAT